TAGATTGGTTGCACGGTCATTTGTCCACTTTAGTTGCTCCGGAGATAGCTCCTTTCGTACTCAGTGAGAAACCGGCGAATTGGGGAGAGACAGTCACCGCGACATGCACCATTTTGAAAGGAGATCAACCAATTCAGATCGAGTGGGCGCTCAACGGCCAGCCGATTTCTCACGATGTTTCTGATATAACAATTGTCACAAGCAAACGCGTCAGCCTACTTACGATTGACGCTGTTACGGCTAGCCACGCCGGAGAATACACTTGTGTAGCCACTAACGCTGCCGGTGGAACGAGCTATTCCGCTTCCTTAGCCGTCAATGGTACCATATTACGTTCTTCGAAGTTTCTATTAATTCTACAGTGCATGTATGAGTCTTCCACGTATGTAGCTTGACATTAATACTACTTACACACTCATTCCCAAGAGGTCCTCATGTTCCTTTGCGTTCTCAGGTTTACCAAAAGAGACAGGCTATGCTCATGATATCACAAGACGAAGAAAGAGATTTAAATATACATGTAGATCTTGTCTATATATTACGACATAATTATATTAAGTTTAGGTGTAATATGATATTATATAAACATTTGGCGAGAAACCGTACTTAAAATTTGACGAAAGTAGAATAGGGCTATAATTAAGACATATCCTTAGTTGCCCCTGAAATCATGCCATTTGTGATCGGCGAGGAACCGGCGAATTGGGGTGACACCATCACTGTAACTTGCACGGTGTTGAAGGGCGATCACCCGATCCAGATCGAGTGGGCACACAACGGCGAGCCAATTTCTCGAGATCATCCCGACATATCGATAGTTAGTACCAGCAAGCGCGTCAGCCTGCTTACAATCGATGCCGTGACGGCACGCCATGCCGGGGAATACACCTGCACGGCTAGCAACGTTGCTGGTGGAACGAGTTATTCCGCATCACTGGCCGTGAATGGTATAAAGGTCTCCCACGTCTTGTGTTTCGCGTAGCTTTTCTCACTTCGTCTCCTATCGTGCATGTGCAGAGCGATTCATCATTCCCACGATTTCCTTCTTTCGATTCCTTTCTTTCGGAAGCTCGGGAAAAGAATATTATCAACTTGATCTGATATCAACTGAAAAATCTCGTCGATGATCCTTTAATTCCTTCTATTTTAGCAAATACTAGGAATAATTCAGATGCGTAGTTGAAAGAATTGATTCTACGAGCAAAATTGT